ACTATTTTATTTAACCCTTTAGTGAATGGGTAGGGGTACAAGTACCCCTTACTCATTCTCAAGGGAGGGGTGTGGCATCTGGGTGCCCCCTTAATTAAAGGTGCAAATAAGCCCCCTTGCCCGCAGACCCCCACAACCACAGGGTCAGGGTTGTGGGAACGAGGCCCTTGTCCCCATTGGCACGGGGACACCCTCCCAGTGTCGAGGGCATGTGGCCTGGTGTGGGTGGGAGGGAGGTGGAGTGCTCGCTCGTCGCCCCCCTTTCCGGCCCTGCCAGGCCTAAGCTCTGATCAAGGGTCTGGTATGGAATTTTGGGGGGATCCCATGTTTTTTTCCCCATTTTTGGAGTGGGGTTCCTCCTTAAAATTCCTACCAGACCTTAAGGGCCTGGTATGACTTCTAGGAGGAACCCTACAGTTTTTTTTTTTAAAATTGGTCCCTCCTAGCATTTATACCAGACCTAAAGGGTCTGGTATTGTTTAGGGAGGGGAACTGCACACTATAAAAGAAAAAAAAAGTATTTTTTTTTTTTTAGAAACGTCTGTTTTGCTGCAGCAGGTTCTATACATCCTACAGATCCGCCACATCACAAGTGGAGATCCATTCAGCCACGCTATTTAGTGTGGATGGGGGAACTAAGCAATGTCTTGCATTCAGTGTGCAGGACTAAATTAGAGAAATCTAGCCTTGTATGACTAATCAGCTTTAGTCAAAGAGGTGAAAGAAGTTTTTTGTTTACTTTATGAGGCTTGTGCATCACATAGTAACTCACATATTAGCTGGATACTTGATACTTGTTCAGACTGTAATATAAGAGCCTTTAATTGTACTTACATTTTTCTTTTCTTTGTTAACTGATTACATACGCAATTGGTGGCTGGGGTGGTGGAAAGCTTTTAATTTACACCAAAGCCCTGAGATATTGCAAAAAAGATCAGTTGATCCTGAAAATTAAAGTTAGAGCCGTGCACTGTGGCTCTTCTCTGACAACTTCCAGCACTGGTCCCTTTTAGGGATGAACTCAGCTCAGTCCAAACCTGAGCTCACAAGGAAGTGCCATGGGCACCTCCACCCATTTCCTGCCCCCAGGGCTACATGTAAGCAAATAGGTGGGATGCTTCTGCTGATGTAATTTACCTTTATATGGCAACATAGCCAAATATAGGCATGTGGCCATATAAGATCAATTACATCACTGTAGTACATAAGGGGCTTCCTTCCATGTTCATTAGGGGCTCCTTGCAGGTTCAGAGGAGCTCAGGTTCGGATCAGGTTCAGTACAAACCAGAGCTCATCCCTAGTCCCTAGTAGTGTACTGTCAATGTTGATAGTTCTCCTGTTATTTGTCCTTGATTTAGGCATACTTTTTGGGAAAATCAGTTACACTATTGTCCCAGTCGACACTGACAGGCAACACAGGAAGAGAACGCTGGTAGGGCCTCATCAAAATTATGTTATCTGGCCCCATAAATGATAGGCACACCCATAGAGGTTGGTGAATAAACACACACTTCTAGAAGTCTCATCTATGATACTTGTTCAATTTAGACTTTCCGTTTATCACCTCTAATCAAAAGCTTGCTTTGATTCTGAAATACCTTTATTTGTAAGAAAGCATCCACAGTAATTCAAATAATAAGTAGCAAACAATTAAAACTTCAGTGTTTCCTGCCTGACAAATTTCAGCAGGTAAATAGGTAATTAGCGGTGGAGTTAAATTGCCCTCTCAGGAGCGAAGAAATAAACAGGTTGAGCCTGTGGAAGAAAGCTCTATCACCAAATCTTCAGGGATCCCATTGTATCCGCTGTGTTTGCCTTGTTTTCAAGCAATGCTTATTAAAGAAAGTAAAGCATTTGCTGGATTAATATCTGGAGATTTCAGGATTGTCAGAGGACTTGTTATACTCATAACAGGAAGGATGGTGCACAATTTAATGGTATGCTGCATCACAGAGGAATTACTA